ATTTATTTTTTTGGGATTGGCTAACTTCATTTAGCATTATCTTCTCCAATTCCATCCATTTATCTGCAAATGCCATGATTCTATTCTCAAAATTTTATTGCTGAGTAATATTCCATTGTGTATATATGCCACATTTTTTTTTATCCATTCATTTACTGAAGGGCATCTCGGTTGGTTCCAGAGTTTAGCTATTTTTTTTTTAGCTATATTGTGAACTGTGCTGTAAAATATTTTTTAATAATGAAACATAAAAAAGGAGAAAGATATCAGGACTGAATATAATATATATGATAATCTTTAGTAACTGAAAAGAATGAAAGTAAAAGAAACAAAAATCAATGGTAAATCTTCAAGGAACATTAAAATACAAGGAATAGGTGAGGCAGATCCAGAATGTGATTGGAGAAGAGAACAGAGCTTTTTTGAAGTAAGGAGAGGTTAACGGTTGTAAAACCTTCTAGAGGACAAACAAAATGAGCCCTGATAAACTGATGAATTTCTTAACTAGATAATAATGAGGAAGCAGTTTGGGTAGAAGAATGAATATAGAAGCAAGATTGCAATATTTACATGCTTGATGACAAAGTGTGACTTTGTTATATTCTCCCCCAAAAAAGTACCATGGAAGTGGGTGAGAGGTAAACAAAAAAATAAAATAAAAAACTGTTTTGGTTCTAGGGTTCTGAACCCAGGGTTGCTTTACCACTGAGCTATATCTCCATCCCTTCTTATTCTGAGACGGATCTTGCTAAGTTGCTAAGGCTGGCCTCAAACTTGTGATCCTCCTGCCTCAACCTCCAGAGTTGCTGAGATTCCCTGAGCCACCACACCCAGCCCCAAATATAAAATCTTTATGTTAATGCAATGTGATTTCAAATTGTATTACATATAACTACCCATTTTTTAATTCTTTTTAAGAAAAAATAATTTTTTAAGGAAAAACAATTTGCTGTTTAAAAGTGTTTATACCTTCGGTTAAATGAGATAGACTGGACATGTCTACTTATTCTTTCCTGAAAGCCCATTTGTTTGTGGAAAAAAAGAAAGCTGTTAAAACCACAAGAACAACAGAGGAGAAGATATCAGAGATATTAACACACTCCAGAAGATGGAAATAACATCAAAGAGACAGCAGAGCTAATTCAAATATCCACAAAGAATACCAACAAGAAGCAAATCCAACAGAAAAGCCCCCAATAGAGACACAAGTATCAAGAAAAGGCAGGATAAAGCACAAGGCTAAAAATAGTAAGGGAAGTAAGTGGTTGAAATCTATGCACAAATCAGTTATATTCTTTGGTTCTCAATTGCATTCATTTGAACAAAATGACTATACCTCAAAGGTCAAGTAAGACAGACTACGTCACAGATCAAGTATAGAGCAGAACAGAATGCAAATCTTGTCCTTCAGATCCTATGGCCCATGCAGTTTTTACTATACTATGCTGTCTCCCTACACCACAGTGCTTCCTGTCTCAGTTATTTGTACAGCATTTTAAGTCTTAATTTTTACATCACTTTATGCTTAGATTATCTGTTTGTGATATCTAAATAGCCTACAATCCAGGACTACATAAATCTAGACAGGTATCCTAGAATCTATCCTCAATACCTAAAATCCAGGGACAGATCTATTTAGTTCTTTGCAGAACCAGTGTTTTTTCCGCATGAGGTATTCTAATAAAGAAAAATGCAAATTATCCCATAGTGATTCAAAGTTGAATGATATCAATAAATATTGACATGGGCTAGGGATATAGCTTGATGGTAGAGTACTTGTCTACCACAAAAATAAAGAAAAAAATAATATATAGTAAGTCGTTAAAAATTACCACTAAAATTAAGTATTAAATTTATTAAGTACCTATCTATCTCCAAATCGATTACTTGGGGAAAAAACAAAAACAAGCAAACTTAAACAACTTGTTAGAACAGCCAAAACTATAAGCTTTAAAGCATATCATAAACAAACCAAAGGAAGCACCAAAAGGAAATGCCTGCACATTCAGAAAAATTTTATCATAACATTAGTAATTCCTCATATATAACACCTTTTGCTTTTCTTTGTGGAAACTAAACAAACTGATACAGAAAAAATTGTGTGTAGAATTCAAAAGACTAATGAAAAAGTAGTCCTAACACATTACTAAGAAAAATAACTTTCTGGGCACAGAGGCACACACCTGAAATTCCACACACTTGGGAGGCTAAAATAGGAGGATTGAGAGTTCGAGGCCAACCTTAGCAACTTAGTAAGAATCTGTCTCAAAATAAAAAGGGCTGGACATGTAATCCCCAATGCTATCAAAATAAAGAAGGGAGGGAGGGAGGGAGAGAGGGAGGGAAAAGCTGAACCAATAAATATCTAATTTGCAGACAACAGATAATAACCTATGCAGGGCTATGATAGTTGGGAGAAAAAAAACTGAATGAATCTAGTTCCACACTGGTTTTCACCTTGAGGGTATTTTCCAATAACTTTACAGAGAAAGAAAGTCCAAGTACCAAGTAGCAAGCAGTCTTGCTATGATGAGAAAATGAGAATTAATGTTTGTGGCTACTAAGGCAGCTGGGTGAGGGCAAGATAGATGTCTCCACCAATGGGCATATGGACAGACTATATTTTCCTAACAAGTCCACAGCAGTATTTCTGATCACATGATCCTCCAGAACCTTGTCACTTTTTTCAAAAGACAGCACATTTATCTTTCTTTTACTGTGAGTGTGCCTTTTATGAAAACTTTAACAAGCAAAATATGGGGAAAATAACATTACAAGACTTCCAAGCGTCAGCTAAGAAAAGGTAATATGGCTACAGTCTCTCTTTCTCTCTCTCTCTCTTTTTTTTTTTTTTTTTTGGTTCCTGGGAATGAACTTGGGGGCACTTGGCCACTGAGCCACATCCCCAGCCCTATTTTTGTATTTTATTTAGAAACAGGGTATATCACTAAGTTGCTTAGCACCTTGCTTTTGCCGAAGCTGGCTTTGAACCCATGATCCTCCTTGTTTCAGCCTCCCGAGCTGCTGGGATAACAGGCATGCATCACCACGGCCAGCCAGTCTGACTTTTTATGTAAGAGTGCTCACCCTTGGAAACCAGCTACTGTGCTATGAAGCAGCCCAAGGTAAACAAAGTGGTCATATATAGGTGCTTCAGTACCAGCTGAGGTTTCCCTGTTTGTGCATAGTCTCCAGCCTTTGAGTCTTCCAGCTGAGGCCTGACATATAATGGAGCAGATAGAGCATTCATGTGTGAATCCCCCAAATAACAAACAGAATTCCTGCGGATAATAAATGGTTGAGTTTTTTATTGTTGCTGTTTTTGGTACCTACTTGAAAGGCTGAGGCACTTAACCACTGAGCCACATCCCTGGCCCATTGTTTGTTTGGTTCTTTTTGGGGGGGGTAGGGGGCGGTGGACAAGGTCTTGCTGATAATTTGATAATTAAAGTTATCAAAAGAAAAATAATGCTGGATGGGAAACACAGAGAATCCTTTTATGATACTATGAAACAAATACAAACTATAAGTTAAAATGAAAACAAAATATTAACTAATATCAACTTACAACAAAAGTATTTTTAAGTTTATGACCCTCAACTAGCAAGCTAGTTAGGGATTTGAGACCTCGATCCTGGTTTTCTAATTCTAATGAATTAATATCAGGAAAAAGAGTAGCATTTTTTATACCAGTTGTTTGATACTTAAAGAATTTCCATTAATCAGAAATTTTTACAAAGCAAAATTTCCTTCATTTCATAATATTTTTGCATAGCAACCTATACTCCAACTATCTATTAGTAGATGATAGAATAGAAATAAAAATTAGAAGTTCAACATTTTAGAAAAGACATACTGAATTGTTGTATATACTAAAAGTATCTCAAATGTGCCTTTCATCAATCTGCAGTCTCTTTTCTGATGTGAAATGGCTTGGAATTTAGAATAAATTAGCAATTCTGCTGTACAGTAATATATAACAGTTTGAGCTTAAGATACCGATGAGCATTTTCAATCACTCAGAAGAAAACAGCTATGTCATAGTGAAGACTTGGAAATGAGTAATTCCAGTTTAAATATTAATATTAAAAACTATTATTTTCATAATATTAAATTTCAGGGTGTGATAACAGTACTATATTAATTCAGGAGTCTCTTTGGATGCTAGAGTACTATGGATGAAATCTACTACTTTGAGACAGTTCGGGGGGAAAAAGAAAGCAAATGTGCAAAATGTTAATATAAGTTCAACACAGTAAATCCTTTTATGATATTCTCAAACATGTTGGTAAAGGGCATGGGGTATTTATTGTACTATTTTTTAAATTCTTTCTTTATGTTTAAAATTTTTAAAATAAAAAGGGGGGAATGCATCCTTGTTTGTATATCAACATGTGTACAAGAATGTTCAGTGCAAAGCCCAAAGTAGAAACAATCCAAATATATAAACAATAAATTGACAAGCAGATAAATAAATGGATAAACTGTGACATATTCATACAAAAGGCAATTGTCTAGCAATGAAAATGAACTATTATTATTAATACCACATGGATGAAACTCACAAGTAACAATGAGCAAATGAAGCTAGACACAAATTGCATAAATAAATATTAAGATAATAGTTAAGAGCAGGAATATCAATTATCTTTATTTAGCAAAAGTTTTACAGATAGTTCAAGAAAGACTACAATGGAAACATATAAGTTATGTTAGAGAACAAATTCCATTCAGGTACCTTCAACCACCCACATACTATTTCTGGTTTGTTAACAGTGTTCAGTGGGCAAGATTTTTTTAAAACACCCAATTTGAATGAGAACACATACCTAACACAAACCTGTATCAAAGAATTTCATATCTGAATAATTTCATATCTGAATAATTTTTCAAACTACACAACTTAATGATTCTAGTTTTAAAATACATTTAAATTCAGACTAAAAAATAGTTATGATGATGATAATGATGATTCGAAGAAGAAAAAATAATATACTTACATTAACTTTGAAAGCTTGTACAGTGTTATCCAGAAGAAGGATGTTGCAAACCACCTCTGTATTCTGTCTGTCTCGGGCCAACTCTGATGCTCGTACATTGTAGGTTCTGCCAGCAGGCAATCGGAAACGTGAGGTCATTACTGTCCACACAAGATCTAAGTTTTAAAAAAAATCACCAAATAAAAGGACTGTGGAAGACACAATGTTGTTTAAAAGATAATTGTTATTTTTTTAAATTAAAACTTAGGAAACTAACAAATTTTGAAACATTAGGATAAGAACTGTAGGTATAAAAAAAATAGATATATACACAAATATATATTTCATCATCTAAACAAATATTTATTGCCTTAAAAAGGCTTTATTTTTAACTGCTCCAAAGAGAATTCAATATTCTAAAATTTCAGGAAGTCACATTCCAATTTAAAATACATAAATAAGGGAGAGGGTAATGCCACCTCAGGAAGTTGAATGTTATTCATTGATGCAAGTATTTAAAATCATTGTAGAATGACAAAAGGTAAGATAACTTTTAGGCCATTCCCTAGAAAACTTAAGATTTTAGGAAAACATGGGAGGTTTTCTTTGTTTTTAAATATAACAATAACCTTCATTTTAACTATCCTCAAACTTAGTCCTTACAAAATAAAAACTAGGTTGGGGTTGTGGCTCAGTGATAGAACGCTTGCCTCGCACACGTGAGGTACTGGGTTCGATCCTCTGTACCACATAAAAATAAATAAGTAAAGATGTTAAAAAAACAAAACAAAATAAAAACTAAATAGAAAACTTAAGCCTACCAATCTTTGCTTCTGAATTTTTACCTAAGAAAACTGGAAAAACAGAATGTCTATAGAAGAACAGAAATCATAATGATATCAACTACATGTTAAGACAATGAAGCTGCAGCTCCAATGTTCTGGGGGGAAAAATAATAGAAACACAGGCTTTTATATCCAGAAAACTAACATTCATGTTAGAGAAAACTCAAAACATTTTTCAGATATTCCTTGATTCAACATTTAAAATTCATAAAATTTTTACCTTAAAATTAATTAGATAAACTAAAGTAGGAAGAAATGTTAAGTATTTAGAAGTTTTAATATGGGTAAAGAAAAGTAGTAAGCAATGTGAAAATGAGTAAATAAAATAGTAATAATAAAAAAAGAAACATTTCAAATCAGTGGTATTCATTTAAAGTTGATTTCTATTCATGTCAATAGGTAAAAGCTGAAAGTAAAAGTCAACATTATGAAACAAAGAAGTGCAGACATTTTATCTTCACAGTCTGTGTTTATAATATATAACTAAACGAAGGATGTTCTTTTCCATTACAGGGAGTCTGACAATTAACTGGCATGACCAAAAGGGTCTTCCCACCCAACCCCCACAAGAAAGCTTCATTCCAATTCAAATTATACGAACTTCCAAATAGCCACTCTAGGCTGTCCATGGTTTATTATGTTAACTAATCAGTGAGAGAGAGAGCCCAAAGGAATAATAAGTGATCTTTGTTTCTGAAACAGAAGCCAAAAAACACTACATAACTAAGTTATCTGGGTAGAATGTGTATCATCTGCCCTCCAACTGCAGGAAGATGCACACAGCTGCAGGAAGATGCCCACCAGCTTGGGAACACCCATCAACCACCTATATAAGCTACCTGGATCAAATTCCCCTTAAGAAGGGTGTTAGACACATGATTCCCCTTTCTTCTTATTGAGTCAGTTTTTCAGTCAAGGTCAACTTCCTTGCCTCAACATCTTTTGTCCCTCAGCTTAATTAGCTGATCCTGAGGGACCAGGTAGACTTTACCTCCAGTAATAATTATATAAGTATAAAAGTAATATGAGAAATAGTTTTAGCATGTTAAGATTCATCAACTACATAGGCAGAATTAATACTGTCAAAATGGGCATATTACCAAAAGGCACTATAAGTGCAATTTCAATCAAAATCCCAATGACATTCCTCATAGAAATAGAAAAAGCAGTCATAAAATTCATCTGGAAAAATAAGAGACTCAGAATAGCTAAAGCAAGAAGAGTGAAGCAGGTGGCATCACTATAGCAGACCTTAAACTATACTACAGAGAAATAGTGAAAAAACAGCATGGTATTGGCACCAAAATAGACTGGTAGACCAATGGTACAGAATAGAGACTAACCCACATAATTACAGTTATCTTATATTAGACAAAGGTGCAAAAAACATACATTGGAGAAAAGATAGCCTCTTCAACAAATAGTGCTGGGAGAACTGGAAACCCATATGCAACAAAATGAAATTAAACCCCTATCCTCACCATGCACAAAACCCAACTCACAGTGGATTCAGGACCTAGGAATTAAACCAGAGACCCTGTGTCTAACAGAAGACAAAGAAGGCCCCAATCTCTGTCATACTGGACTAGGACCCTACTTCCTTAATAAAACTCCTATAGCATAAGAATTAAAATCAGTAATTAATAAATGGGATGGATTCAAACTAAAAAGCTTCTTCTCAGCAAAAGAAATAATCAGCAAGGTAAATAGAGAGCCTACAGCTTGGGAGCAAATTTTTTCCACTTGCACATCAGAGCACTAATCTCTAGGGTATATAAAGAAATCAAAAAGCTAAACACCAAAATAACAAATAACCCAATCAATAAATGGGCCAAGAAACTGAACAGACACTTCTCAGAAAGTGATATACAACCAACTAACAAATATATGAAAAAACGTTCAACATCTCTAGCTATTAGAGAAATGCAAATAAAAACTCCAGTCAGAATTGCAGCTATTAAGAATACTAACAACAAGTATTGGCGAGGATGTGGGGAAAAGGGCACACTCATACATTGCTGGTGGGACTGCAAAATGGTGCAGCCAATATGGAAAGCAGTTTGGAGATTCCTTGGAAAATTTGGAATGGAACCACCATTTGACCCAGTTATTCCACTCCTTGGTCTATATCCAAAGGAATTAAAAACAGTAGACTACAGGGACATAGCCACATCAATGTTTATTACAGCACAATTCACAATAGTTAAACTGTGGAACCAACCTAGATGCCCTTCGGTAGATGAATAGATAAAGAAAATGTGGTATTTATACACAACAGAATATTACTCAGCAATACAAGAGAATAAAATCATAGCATTGGAGAATATAATGCTAAGTGAAGTAAGCCAATCCCAACAAAACAAATGCCAAATGTTTTCTCTAATATAAGGAGGGTGATTCATAGTGGGGTTGGGAGGGGAAGCATGGGAGGAATAGACAAACTCTAGATGGGCAAAGGAGAGGGAGGGGAAGAAAGGGGGCAAGGGGTGTAAAAAAGATAGTGGAATGAGATGGATCTCATTACCCTAAGTACATGTATGAAGACAATGAATGATGTGAATATACTTTGTATACGACTGAGATATGAAAAAATATGCTCCATATGTATAAAATGAAACGTAATGCATTCTATTGTCATATATAACAATTTAGAATAAAAACATTTTTAAAAAAGAAATAAAAACTCTACTCCAAAAAAAGAAAAAATTAGGGCTGGGGTTGTGGTTCGGTGGTAAAGCTCTTGCCTCGAACCTGTGAGGCACTGGGTTTAATCCTCAGCACCACATGAAAATAAATAAGGTATTGTGTCCATCTACAACTAAAAATATTTTTTAAAAAAAGATTCTTATCAAAGTGCATAAATGCATTCTACTGTCATGAATAACAAATTAAAACAAATAAAAAAATTATACAAAGATTCACCAATTAAAAGTCAGCCATTAGCAAAGGAGGGGAAAAAACAAAACAAAACCATGATTCAAATTGTAAGCTGCCTCCAAGAAACTCTCCACAAATTTAACAATATAGGCAAGTGGAAAGTGCAATTATGGGAAAAGACATATCAAGGAAACATTAATACACACAAACAGGAGTGCCCATATGGACATCAGATAAAGTCGAATTCAGATTTAGAACAATTAATTCTTGGGAACATGTAGGGATAGTACATAATGATAAAAGTGTCGATTCACCAGGACACAGCAATCCTAACTGTGAATGCACCAACAGAGCTCCAGAATTTTTGAAGCAAAAACTGTAGAACTGAAATAAAAACCAGAAATCCATTATTATACATAAGTACAATAGTCTGACACATAAAATGGACAAATTTCTAAAAAGGCACAAAATGCAGAATTTAACCAATATAAAAGATAATTTAAACAGCTCTGTTACTATTTTAAAATTTGAATTTATAGTTTTAAAACTTCCAATAACTCTTCAGACCCAGATGGCTTCACTGGAGGATTATACCAACTACTTAACAAAAAGTTAAAACCACTTCTACACAATCTATTCCAGACAGCAAAAGAGGAAAGAACACTTCTCAACTCATTTTATGGGACCAGTATTATCCTGTGAATTAACAGAATTTTTTAAAAATCACAATATTTCCAATCAAAGCAGAAAAGCATGACAAAATCCACCACCCATGCATGATAAAAATTCTCAAAATCTAGAAATAAAGGGAACCTTCTTCAACATAATTAAAGATGTCTACCAAGAAAAAAAAAAAAAAAAAAAAAAACCCTACAGCTAGCATTACACATAATGATTCGCTAAAACCTGAATGTCTTCTCCCAGGAACAAAACAAGGATGGGAGTTTGCTCTCACCACTTGACTCAACTTAAAGCTGTAAGTCCTAACCAGGGCAATAAAGTAAGGGGGAAAAGCATAAACAGGAAGAAATAAAACTTACTATTTGCAGATGACATGAAGTCTATGTAGAAAACCTCAAGGAATCTACAAAACACTTGAAGTAGTGAGTTTAGCAAGGTCACAGGATACACTAACATACAAAAATCAACTTCATTTGCTTCTACTGGAAACAAATATGGAGTCAAATTTAAAATGTAATCCCATTTCAACTACTAAACAAAAAATTTTAAAAAATTAAGTGTAAATCTAACAAAACACAGAAATTCTATGCTAAAAACTAAAAAAAAATGTTGACAAATATCAAAGATCTATATAAATAGAGAGACATAATATGTTCATGAATTGGAAGACTCAATATAATAAAGATGTCGATTCTCTCCAAATTCCCAGTAGCCTTTTTCTGCAGATAGAGATTATTCTAAATTTATATGGAAAAGCAAAGGAAATAGCTGGG